TGTTCGTGGTCAAAGAACTCAAGTTATCATCCGAGTCGGCTTCCAGGTATTTTTTCTGATTGAGTTCTTGATATATATAAGTTAATGAGATTAATTTATTCGTGCATAAATTAATATAATCTATAGAGTATCTCAAAAGTTTTATGAAAATTTTTGTTATACACGATCCGCCTCTTCCCCGCACCACTGCGCTTCCACAGCCAGATTCGATTCGGCTACCCACAGTTTCTCCTTTTTGTCATTCTTCTTTACAGTTATCACAACTTTATATAGAACGGTTTCTGTTTTTTCATTTTCTTGTCTTTTACTTCTTTTGGGCCCTGTCGTGTTGTACCATAGTGCGCATAACTAGTGAGGAGTGGGATAGCTAACCAATCCAACTCAGTCATGGCTTCATTTCTTTCATAGTCTCATAATAACCTTTCCTTCGAAGGCTGGTACAAACAGGATGTTTGGTCTCTTATCGTTTATCAATTTTCTCATTGAAATGGTAACTTTAGTGAAATCTTATGACGTTGTGCATTGTTTAGCAATTTATCATGAGCTTGACTTTTCGCTAGAGTTTTAACATTTTCTCTTAACTTGACCTCGACTTGACGTCGATACATACTTTTTGTAGAATAAAATTCTATTACTACTTAAGTCTTGTAGATACATGCATAACATTGTATCTAACATTCATGAGTCATCTTTCCCATTATAGCATACATTAGTCTACAATATACTCGGATTGAGCAACACAGAGAAATAAATTTATTTGAATTGTTGACAAGAAAAAGTACTGATACTTACCAAAGTTTTGCTAACGATGCATCCTTTGTCTCACTTGATGCTTTCCGGCTTCGATCATTAATCGATCCTATTGCATAAATTTTTTATCGTTAGATTCAAAATCTAAGATCAATAATTACATTAAAATTTAATTTGGAAAGGTTTACAATCCTTATGTTTGGTATTCAATCCAAAAATATTTCATATCTCAAGAATTTGCACTAAAACCGTGCACCTTCCTCAATCATGGGCCTAATTTTCAGTTTTGGTCCAAAACTGTGAATTCTCATTGTGTTCGGTTTCTATACATCACCGATTATCGAATCAACTTACTTTTCATATCTCAATTAATCCTTATTCCTCATGAAAACCGATTTTAACTCAAAGTCTGAAACTAAATTTTGGCAGAGTTCCGCTTATTTCTCCATGTTTCCCGAGCTATACTTTCTCTTTCAATTAGATCACAATTCTAGGGTTTCCTCATATTTTCATAAAAAATATCCATACCAAGAATTACTAGAAACAAAAGCTCAATAACCTAGAATTCATCCTTGATTCACTAGGCATCAAGTTCCTTAACCATTACAAGCAAATCATTATTCTTATGTAAAATTTTCCTTCATGCTTTCTACCACATCCCACGTGCAGCCATAGTGAAGAAAAAAGGAGGAAAACTTGAATTCTCACCTTAGAGAATGAAGAACAAGCTTCAGTGACGCGAACTAGCGGTGTCGTTTCGTCAATTTCGATCAAAACTCGCTTTTCTCACTTTGGATGAATTTTTTTCTCTTCCTTTCTCTTGGGCTTAGTTCTCTTTGTTCTTAGCATGAAAAATGAACATTTCTCATTTTTTCTTCCTTTAGTAAACCGACCATCCATAATGCAAGGGTCCAAAAAATAATTTTTGACTTTTCCAAGGACCATTTTGCAAAATTTAACAAAATATCGCAAAAATATCTTTTCTTTTCTTCTCCACCAAGCTTGGCCGGCAGCCCCCCTTTTTTTCTGCTTTCCACATGTCCTCATCTCAACCAATCATCAATTTAATTACTTTAAATCCTAGCCATCCATTCATAATAATTATCTCATTTCTGTTCCATTTAATTTCCTGTCTGGTATGCATTTTATCTGCGTTTTTCAGACAGTTGGTCAACTTAGCCATCCTTGACTAACTTTTTGAGAGCGACATTTTGGTTGACTCTTAGTCAACAAATTTTGACTTGGTCAACTCAAATAAGTCGAAACCCCAATTTTCTCGGTTCCGCCTTCCGAACCCCTTTTTCGTTTGTTTGTCGTTCCGATTGTTTCAAAAACCTTATAATTGATGTCTTTCAATTCTTTTCCATTTCTTAAACTTAATATTCATGTGTTTACCCACTTGTGGGCTTAACACAACATTCCATACTTCTTCTTTAAATACAGTCCAAAAATCGGTACTGCATCGTAGTTCAGAAATTTCTGAACTTTAACTTATAACTTGCTATTCCACATTTATGTCAACAAAAGTATTCATATTAATGATACAAATGATTTCAGAAAATTTTATTTTATACAATAATTCTGATAAATTTCTCGGTGATGACAAAAACTCACATGCAAACACTTGAATCAACATCCTATTTTGAGTTCATTAAGTTCAAATCAACCAAAACTCAATCCAAAGTCATAAGACTAACTCATTTAACCTCAACATCAAAGCTCTAACTGTTAAGAGTCTTACCCTTTAAGATTAATTGATAGTTCGGTTTTCTAAAAGCTCAAACTTGTAGCTTTAAGCGTGATGATATGGCTGGTTGTGGATGGATGTATTTGAAAAATAATATTGAAGGCAAAAAACAAGAAAATTCATATTAGTTGCCATTAATAGAAGAAAATGTATTGCGAAAGTGATTGAGAGAGCTACCTTACCCAAACCCAACTCTATGTTGAAGGAGCTTAATCCTTCTTCTCGGATTCCAATTTGGCAGCAAATTTGGAAGGGTTTTTGGACTGCCAAACGTGTTTGAAACGTGGGGAAAAGCAAGGGTTTGCTTCCCCTATGGATTAAGAAGAGAAAGGATGAAGAAATTTCGAGTTTGGAAGTGTGGAAGGTGGTTTTCTTGTAAGGGGCTGAGGGAGATGCGGGAATAGTTGAGAGAGTGAGAGAGATAAAAGAGAGTTGATTTTAGACTCTCAAAAAAAAAAAAAGAGTGTGTTTTTAATTGATACCCTCTTTCCTCTCTTCCTATTTTTCTGTTTTTGTTTTTGTTTTTGTTTTTTTTGTTTTTTTTTTTTGTTTTTGCTAAGCTAAAATCTGATTGGGTTTGTTGGGTGGTGCCTTTTAAGAACCCATCATCTCTTCTATTTTTGACTCTAAACATTTTTAAAATCATGCTTTGGACCCCATATTTTTGAAAAGAATTATGCCTTAGGTTCCATACTTTGCCAAAATTATAAATTTTGCCTTGAAATTAGATTTTTGTAAAAGTTTCCTTATTGACTAATTTTGTGATCTGATTAAAAATTTGATGCTCGAAATTCCATCAGAAATTTTATTCACTAATCTACGCCATCTCTCATGTAAAAATAATTTATACCATTACTTTCATGTATGTCTCGTACCACAATAGCGTTTCATGATCTATTCTTGATTATTTAAAAATTTGAGTAACTCACACTTTCTCAAATCTCAAAGGCTCAAAATTAATTATCCCTTATTCTTGTACATCATAGAATAACATAAGTTAATTATCAAAATAATCGAGTAATCACAATCGTTGACCATTAACTTAAATAAAGAATCTTAATATTTCCTTGTCATAGTATCCATAATAATTTGCACTTTCAAAATACTTTTCTTTAACATTTAGGGTCCCGTTATATAGCATTAATCTTGTATTATCAGAACCTCTTTTATGTGGCCCTTATCTTGTCCTCAAGAATTTGGCCATTGTCACTATCTTATTTGACTCATCATACTGAAAACACTTCTAACATTTGATAAAACAATTCAAGATTAACATATATATCAACTAAAATCTTTCATTAAAAACATACAATTGTTTATGTGATGCAGACTACTAGCTCAAACTACTTCACAAGATAAATAAAACATTTCTTATTTTTCCTTATTTTCCTCTATTTTTTTCCTTTTCTCTCTTCTTTTCTTTCATTCTCTCTCTCTCTCTCTCTAAATTTGGGCTGAATCATTCTTTGCTTATATAGGCCTGCTGCAAGGGGTGTATATTAAAATTTGTTTTTTTCTTGTTTTTTCGGGGGTGTAGAAGAATGAAAGAGCAAGAGGAGATCCAACTACCTAAGCAGGAAACAATATGGGAGAATCAGCCAAGCACAAGCCGTATAAACGTTTTTTGGGTGATTGAAAATGAGCAACGTCTGCAACATGGGCTGAAGACGGAAAGATGTAATAGCAATGATTTAGAAGAGCCAGAAAGTTCAGTCCCTCAAGAAGAGAGGAAAAACGTGAAAACAGTAAGACAAAGCGTTAAGGAGATCATGCTACACTCAAGACAACACTTTAATCTACAGCAGTTGTCAATAGGTCCTATTCATGCTGCTAAGTCGGGTTTCTTCAACGCAAAACTCAAGATTAAATTGGCTGAACATTTTATTAATATTAGCGGCAGAACGAAGGATATTTTACTCAGAGGAATCAAGGAAAAGGCCGAGGAAATAAAGAAGTACTTCCATAAGGACGCAATTATGTTGTATGCTGTTGAAGAACATTATAATGATGACGAATTGATAATATTGGTGTACTTTGATGGGTGCGCAATCCTAGGGTTCATAGACGCCTATGTGAATCAGAAGTTAAACATGTTTGACATTAGTCCTGGTGAAGCAGCATCGATCCAAGAGGATTTGTTCCTGCTAGAGAACCAAATACCCTTTATAGTCCTTGAGAGCTTAATGGGCGTCCAAACAGAATCGGGAAATAAAGATTTGGTACTCGACTTTTGCAGATTTATTGCTCTTATGGGTAATAATCTAGGGGAATTTACAAAATTCCTACTTTTGGATTCTGTTCACAAACATCCATTACACATTCTTGACCTTCTGCGAGAAGTACAATTACTTGATAACCCTAATTGTTTTCATCAGAACGAGTGCATGCCAACTTATCTCATTCGTCGTCTTTTCTCGCTTTTATGTTATTGTGCTTGTGGAGCAGTGGCATTTATTAGTTGGATCTTGAAGCGGTTCAATAAACCAGAGAGTCTCCCTCAATATTCGAGAGTCCCCTTTCTTAATGTTCAGGAACTTAAAAATGCAGGGATAGAGTTCAAGCCAAGTGATTCTTTAAAATCTATATCTTTCCATTCTTCATTCTTTACCACAGCTCAACTTAAGCTTCCCAGATTGGTTCTAGACAATGTGACGGTGAAAATGTTGTTCAACTTCGCCGCCTATGAGATGTGCTTGTCTGAGTCTCATCGAAATCAAGAACCTTGGTTAATTTCTTACATGAAATTGCTAGAGTCGCTTGTTGACGATGAAAATGATGTTAAGGACTTAAAAGCTGCGGACATTCTTCAGACCGGCCACATTAGCGATGCTGATGTGGCTAATTTGATCAACGGCATGGGCTCTAAATTATTACCACCAGCCATAGACACTTATGCACGTGTCAAGAAAAAAATAGGAATGCATTGCAGGAGTAGGAGCAGAAGAAGGTGTGCGCTCTGGATTGCTCAGGTCTACAATACTCATTTTAGAAACCCATGGACTATTCTGGCTCTGTTTGCTGCGATTGCGGTACTTGTATTAACTTTTGTTCAAACTTGGTATGCAGTCAATCCAAAAAATTGAAAGGTACAAAATACTATTAGTACTTCTCCTAATTACAAATTTGCTGATTTTATTTCAGAAGTGTATTAACATTTAGTACTTCTCACCAACATTGATACTTTGAAAATTTAATCTAGGATGGAACAAAGTGTGGAATATACTCTGCCGGAGAGATGTGCAAGTTCAGCCTAGCATCTCATGAATGTGAATTATGCAAGGAATCCGTGAGCTCAATTTCACATTTATCACAACCTGTTTGTGCCCAGATATGCTTGCTTCGAAGATATTGATTATATATAACTTTTTTATGCGTGTCTATTTTCTTTTGAGATTTAAGTGCCCTTGGGTCTCCATATAAGAATGACTTGATTCCTTAATGTTCTAGTGGATTTGTAGAAGGAGACCAACTTCATGTTTTCTATAATGTCAATGTCCTTAATGTTCTAGTGGATTTGTTGAAGGAGACGAACTTCATGTTTTTTATAATGTCCTCAATGTTCTAGTGGCTTTGTTGAAGGAGACCAACTTCATGTTTTCTATAATGTCAATGTCCTTAATGTTCTAGTGGATTTGTTGAAGGAGACCAACTTCATGTTTTCTATAATGTCCTTAATGTCCTAGCGGATTTGTAGGACACCATCTTCATGTTTTCTATAGTGTCCTAAATCTTAATTAGGATAATCCCTAAAGTATTCTTAATGAAGATTATCGGCTTTATTACAATTCTTAGAGGTAGATTTTCTTTGGCAAACGAGATGGAGATATTCTTTGGCAAGATGTTTATGATCTATATAATATTTTCAAGTCAGATTGAGGAAAATAAGCTAAGATTTGAGAGGAATTAAAATTAGTAGGCTAATCTAAATCTGGATTTTTAACCAACTGAAATTTCAAAAATACCCTCTAGGATTTACCGTATATATCTAGATCTGCCATTAGAATTTGTGCCTTTTTTTCAAGTAAATCTAACTTAGTAAATGCTGGATTTATCATGAATATCCAGGATTTACTATCAAAGTTAGACTTACTAAGTATATCTAAGATTTTCCATTAGAATTTGTTATGTTCCTTTTTAAGTGATTCTAACTTGATAAATGTTAGTAAATCCTAGATTTGCCTCGATTTATTGTGTATATCCAGGATTTACCATTAGAGTTTATATGATTCTTAAAAAAGTGATGCTAACGTGATAAAAGATTTACCAATTATATCCAGGATTTATTATTAGAATTTATATTGTTCCTTTTAAAGTGATTCTAACTTGATAAATTTTGTTAAATCCTGGATTAACCGTGTATATTTTGGATTTACCATTAGAGTTTGTACGGTTTTTAAAAAAGTGATGCTAACTTGTGTTGTTCTTTTCCAAGTGATTTACCAAGTATACCAAGAATTTACCATTAGAATTTGTGTTGTTCTCTTTCAAGTGATTCTAACTTAATAAATCTTGATAAATCATGAATTTACCGTATATATTTAGGATTTACCATTATATTTTGTGCGATTATTGAAAAAGTGATGCTAACTTGACAAATCTAGGAGTTACCAAGTATATCTAAAATTTACTATTTGAATTTGTACAATTCTTTTTTCAAGTGATTCTAACTTAGTAAACCTGGATAAACCTGAATTTAAAACGTGCAATTAAAAAATTGCAAGGAACTTCACTTTCATAAGTTTTAAATATAGGCCTAGTTTCTATAATTTTCCTATTTTTAACCTATTGTCGGCCTATAAGATGAGATTCCTTGGTTTAGAGGTTTGACCCAAGAGGTAACGACAATCTTATCAGAGTAAGGATAATATTAAGAGTAAGTGAGGAGTACTTATAAGTGTAGTATATATGTTTGTACTTATTCTTCAATAGGAAAATATGTGTATAGCTAGTCAATCTAGATCAATCCGACTAACGACGACTTCTACTAGTAGAATAGTGAGATTGCTCAAGGTCCCAAGGAGAAGAAGAACTTTGGATTCATTGAAACTCCCACAGACAAAACCAATAGGTATCATGGTACACGCTCCGGCTGATCCTAATGAATTGTAGATGCAACCACGAGGATATTCACCATAAAGCGTATTAGTGTTGCTCGTAAAGAAGAAAGAAAATTCGTTTAGAATATGCATTAACTACCAAGGACTTGACAAGGTCACGATTAAGAACAAGTACCCATTATTAAGGATAGACAATGTTTTTGATCAACTTAAGAGAGTAGCAATCGTTCCCAAGATTTATTTGCGATCGGGATATCATCGACTGAAAATAAGGAGAGAATGACATTCCTAAGTCAGCTTTCCGTACTAGCTCTAGGCATCATGAGTTTTTAGTCATATAATTTAGATTAGCCAATATCTCTGCAGTTTTTATGAACTTGATGAACCGAGTATTGAAAGGATGCCTAGATAAGTTCGTTACCTTATTCATTGACAATATCTTAATCTACTTTAAGGCCTGGGAGGAACACAAAGAGCACTTAAGGATTGCTTTACAAATCTTGAGGGAACACCAACTTTATGCTAATTAATTAGTTTTTAAAATGTGAGTTTTGGCATGACAGAGTCAAATTTCTACGACACTTGATCTCTAAGGAAGACGTATCCGCAGATCCGTCGGAAATTGAGCACGATAGAAATTTGAAATATCTTAGGCCTAGCTGACTATTACCGGAGATTTATCGAAGGATTCTCAAGATTTGCTGCACCCCTTACCGCACTTGGAAAGAGAAGATGTATGTTTGGACGAAACGGTACCAAGAGAGTTTCTGAGAGTTAAAAAAGGCTTATTAGAGCCCCTCTTATCACTATCCTTCGAATATAGGAAAATTCGACATTTATAGCAACACATTGAAAATAGGATTAGGAACTGTGTTAATGCAAGATGGAAACGAGCCTCCGGTGCATTCACTTAGAAGGAGCTCAATATGGGATAGAGAAGGTGGTCAGAACTAGTCAAAGAGTATGATTGTGAGAAGGTGGTCCAATAAAGTCACTGAGGCCCTAAGCCATTAGCCGACTGCTACCCTCATGTCAATCGAAGCACTTTTTCAAACCCTACAGAAGGATATTTGAAAGATTGGATCGAGATAACTATATAGCCATTGTCTACCTTTACCCTGCAATCGATATATCCTTGAAGGAATAAAGGTAACTTAGAATCTTGATCTAGTTCTAATAAGGCTAAGAGAGGAAGTGTTGGAAGGAAAGAGCACCAAGTTAGGCCTCTCTGAAGATGGAATTGATCGCCATTTCAATGTTAGATTATGCGTTTCTAACGATGAGAAAATACAGAAACAAATATCGTTCACCCTAGAGTGACCTTTTAGAGTTTAGTTTAGTAACAAAAATAAAAATTTAAGTAGAGCATAGTTAAAAGGAAAAATAAATTTTTTTAGTGGAGCAAAATTAGAGAATAAATTCTTTATGGATACATATGAAAATATTTAGGCAGGGACAAATTTGAGAAGATATGATTTCATTAACGTAAATGGAAAAAAAAAAGTATTTATGAGGGCCATATTTAGAAAAAAAAAAAAGAATATTAAGTAGGTTCATATGTGAGAGAAACTATTTAAACTTAGATAAATTAGAATAGTTGAAAGTGCCACTAAGGAAAAAAAAAATGTAAATATAGAGGTATTTTAGAACAATTAATTTAATAAGCAATAATTAGAGACGTAAAATTTTAAAACAACCGTAAAAAGAGAAGCAAAAAGGGCTTTAATCAAAAGAAGTATTTTTTTGGTCGAAACTATAAAATAATATATATAAGACACATTAGCTATTCATAGTTAAATAGAATGTATTTGAGCAAAATTATTCTAATAGGACAGATGAAAAGAAAAATCACTAAACAAATATAAATGAATAGGGAAAAGATCTAAGAGAAAGGAAGAAAAAAAGACCAGAAACAAATATTGATCACGTGGAGGAAGAGAATGAATTGCAGTATGAGGCCGGATTTTATTTGGGCGAAAAAACTATCTAAAAAGAGACACATGCAGTTGAGAAAAAATTGCCTTAGAGTTATAATTAGGAAAAAATAGGAGCAAGCAGGGAAAAAAGGTGTTTCGAGAAACACATTAAAAAGGAGAGCTTCTCTGATAGGATTAAAAAATGAACTACCGGTAGTTTTTTATTTTAAGTAATTAGCTCTGTATCAAATTCTGTTAGTTATGTATATTTTTTTAATCTGATGTGATTTTAATCTAATTCAACAGTCAAAAACTGACACTATAAGTAGATCTGACCTATTAGAAAAACTGAATTAAACTGTAAAAGACATTTGCAAAACAAAAAACAAAAAAGATAAAAAATTTGTTTAAAAACACAAGAAAGAAAAATAAAAAATGTGATGTCACGTGTTAAAAAGAAGGAGAAGCTCCTTATAATGTCACTTGTAGAAAGGAAGAGGACTTTTTGGCTTTTTTTTAGATGGAATTTTTAGCTCTTTTATATATGTTAAAGAAGATATGTATAATTAGCTACAAAAATGAACAACCTAACCTTTGCCGTTGTGAGGGGACGACTCTTCAGCAAAGTGATTACACACGAGTATATGGCCAAAACCACCAAATTTTTTTTTTTTAAAAAAAAAAGAAAGAAAATTACAATACTTATCAAAACAAAGTTTTTTTTTTTTTTTAATAAACACGAGTAAATACAAGCAATCAATAGAAAAAGCTAAGTGTTTGATAAAAGGTAGTGATAACAAATTAAACTATAGCAAAATAAGTAAAAGGGGACAAAAGGAGTCAAATAGCTGTTAGGATCTTAAGAAAAGAAAAAAGAAATTTAAATGATTAGTGGGGGCAAAATTCAAGAAGAAATAATATGGGAAAACTTTAAAAAAAAAAAAAAGATTGAACTATTAAGCATATGGTCAACACCACCAAATTTAAAAAAAAAAAAAAAAAAAAAAAAAAAAAAAGGAAAAAAAAAAAAAAAACGGTCGAAGGTAACATAAGTAAATACAAGCAATCAATAGAAAAACAAAGTTTTTTCTTAAAAAAAATAAACACGAG